TCTTTTGGCTATGCTGTTGATGCTTCTGAATTACACTTTTCCAACACTCAGATAACTCATTGCTGTGTCTCTGCTCAGATCTCAAGATCCTTAACTAGAATGACTTTTCTCCATTTTTCAGTTTTCTTATGTTTGTTATATATATATATATATATATATATATATATATATGTCCACTTTCTTAATGGTTCTTAGAAAGAATAAGAAGAAATGTCTATCTTTGTCTGGAACTGGAAGTCTGACAGAAGGTTTTTAAGTGTTCAGTTCTCCTCTAAAGAACAAATCTGATCATGCCTCCACCCTTCTTTTTTCTGTCTTTTATCTATCTATCTATCTGTCTATTTTTGAGACAGTGTCTTGCTATGTAGCCCAGGCTGGCCTCAAACTTGATCCTCCTACTTCCTCCTCCCAAGTGTTAGGACTGTAGACATGCACACCACCACACCCAGCATGTTTCCATCCTTCTTTAAACCCTCTTGTCATAGACTCTTCTGCTCAGTGGATAAAATCCCAACCCCTTACCGTGGACATTGAAAGCTCTTTACTATCTCACCACAAATAATAACAGCATATCTTCTGCAGCTCTCCACTATGCAATGAACTTGGCAACTACACAGTACTTTTTCATGGTTTGTTGCTTGGCACAGGCACTCTGTAGGTCCCACCTTCTCTTCTCTATTTGGCAGGCACTTAGCTATTTTTCAAACCTAGTTCTTATGTTACATACAGTGAAGCTGTTTGATCCCTTCATAGTGCTACCAATAGCAGTATGAACATACCTCTGTGGCCTATTTCTTTCTTGTGTTGATCTCTCTTCCACCCTGCTCTTCGAGGTGGAATTGTCTCTGTATATCTCTGTCTCATTTAACTGTAAATTCTTTGAGGTTAGGGTTGTGGCCGTCTTATTCATCAATATATTCTCAGCATATAGCACTGTGCCTGACACATAGTTGACATTCACCAAATGATGGACTCCATGGAGGCTTGGTTCAAGTAGTAGAGTGTTTGCTTAGCAGGTATGAATTAAAATGAGTTCAAGCCCCAGTATTTCCACAACAAAATGTTTATACTAAATAAGTAAATGAATACTAGAGTAACCAAATACTAGAGTAACCAAAAATTCTCTCCAGCTTGTGTGAATAGGCTACCTACAGCTACCTTGTTTTTCTCATTACCATATATTCCTTTTTATTTTTCCTCACAAACAACTTCAGGAAATTATAATAATTTAGTCATTTCCTCATCCTGCTCCTCCCTCCCTTAAGGAGGGTTTGCTTTGGGGTTATCCTCAGGAGGCTGACCATTGGAGAGCAAGGCTGCCTGTTGCTGGCTGATGGTGTTGTTAAAGCCCATTCTTCAGACTGTTATTAGCCATGAATGCAGTCTTTAGTAAACTGAAGCCCCTATTTTTTAAGAAGTTATGCCAAAGCTTGGACTTTCTTTTCCAAGCGTTCCAGAACTTTAGCTTTTATTGAGAACCAAATCCTTTTGGATATTTAGTTATCTTGTTTATCTTTTGACTGTTGACTGGAAGAAATTTAACAATAATTCTTCCTAGTGAGATTTCAGCATCTGACACTTAAGACAATAGCTTCTTTCATTTTTCTGACACTTTGCTCAACCCATACATACATACCCTATGATTCAACATGTGTTACTACAGTGCTATAACAGTGAGTTAAGTTGTAGATACCACACACAAACACATGCTATTAAAGACTGTGCAGGTGAAACCTATTCTGTTATATCCACTAACCTTTTTTTAAAGACTCCAATCCTTTGATTCTGTATTTTTTCTCATTTATTATGGCCATATTGGCTTTTCTCAGCTGTAATTAAATGATCCTCTTATACTATTATAAATGCATATATAATAATTTCTCTACTAACCAAACTTACATAACATAATCAGGTACTATTACACTTTTTATATACATAATTTTTAATTCTTACAGTCACCCTATAAGATAGATGTTATCTGCATCCGTCAAACATGTCAGAGAAGTAGTAAGTATCTGAGCTGAAATTGGTTCTGAATTCAAACACATGTTCTTTTTGGTATACCACTCTGCCTCTCAATAAAAAGGCCTACTATGAAATTTTATCTTTTGGGTTTTTTTTTTTTTGGTACTGGGATTTGAACTGAGGGCCGTCACCTTGAGCCACTCCACCAGCCCTATTTTTGTGAAGGGTTTTTCGACATAGGGTCTCATGGAACTATTTGCCTGGGCTGGCTTTGAACCATGATTCTCCTGATCTCTGCCTCCTGAGTAGCTAGGATTACAGGAGTGAGCCACCAGCACCTAGCTGAAATTCTGTCTTTAAAAGATGAAATGAAGCTGGACGTAGTGGTGTACATCTGTAATTTCAGCACTTGAGAGGTAGAGGTAGGATGATTGGGAGTTTCAGGCCTGCCTCAAATCCTGGGCTACATAATGAGACCCTCTCAATAAATAATTATTGTAAATTTCTCCTAATAGCTGAACTCCTACTCCTTTAATCAAAGTTCTGGGTCTTGATTTTATCAAGTGCTGTTCTCTATTTTATAAGATAGAAATGGAAGGAGGGAAATGTGCCCAAAGAAAGATCTTGAATGTATAGTAAAATTTGGGGGTTCTGTTGCCTAATAGCTTATTCTCATGGCATCTGTTCTCAGGCATTCAGGTCCTTTTTGTTCCTTTGAAAAAACCAAGGAGGACACTTGTTGCCATGTCTTAAAAGGCCTTAACAGCTAACTGGCTACTCAAAAAGTCCTGAGTCATCAGTGAAACTTGCTGGCAGTAGGAACTAGTATTTGGTGGGTGAAAAGGCCATCAACTGCCAGCTCTTTTCTCACAAGTGTCTGATACTAGACCATAGTAGGCATTTAAAAAAATTATTAAAAACTGAGGCTCTTTTCCTTTGGTGTCTGATTCAGTAGCTCCTCCCTTTCCTTTTCATTTCCTTTGGATACAGTCACATCCCACAAGATTTGAGAAAGTGCTGTGGAGGGAAGCCAGAAAACAGAAAGATGAGTCAAAAGTAGAGAGGTGCTATCACAGAAAGATGAGTCAAAAGTGGAGAGGTGCTATCAGTGGGTGAAGAGAGTACCTGAGCTGTAACATCCCTCTTTGTCACTTCTCCAAGCAGCAGGTCACAGAGACCATGAGGCACACCTGCAGGAACAAGTGAAAAAGGGTTCCAGTGTGGCTGGCTATGTCCCAGCTGCCATCCTGGCCCCAGAATATACATGGTTGGAATCCATAGGAAGTAACCGGGACAAGGCAAAGACTGTTTTGGGACTGGCCCTGCTCCCCGATACTTGTTGGCACATTATAAAAAACAACTATACTACCATGAGGTCAGGTTCTTAATGTCTCTCAGTTGCAGCACCAGACAAGTATGTCCTCTGAGAGACACCAACATAGCTTCTCTGAAGGGGCATGAAAAACAAGCAGTCATGAGCATTATTTCTTGGCTTCTCTTTGTCTGAAATGGAGATAGATGTCCCACACTACTGAAGTCTGGATAGCAACACCAAGGCTCTGGAGGTGGTCTCTTCCTTTCCTTTGATGATGTCCACCTACTCCATGTGACACTAAGTAACGAGAGCATCCTTGGCTCCTTTGCATTCCAACTTGATCCTTGCAGCTAAGATGCCAACTCACTCTAGTGTATTTAGAATCCCTTAATTAGGGGAGCGGAGGGCTTAACCTGGGGTACTTGGGGTTGCTCACCCAGAGCTGATCCATCATACATTCTGGGACAGCAAGTGTCATCTGGGGTTGCCCCAAGCAAACCAGGACATAAAGTCACCCTACCAGTGTGATAATACTCACCTCACTGACTTGTAAGAATGAAATGGATGTACACCTAGGATTTGATTGACTGAACTGCCATTAGTGACACTCTTCTTTTCAGCACCTTAAAATCACCTGGTATTTGTGCCTCTCATCTATTGCTTTTCTCCTTCCTCTGTTCCTTTATCCCTGTCCTTGGCTTGTGGCCCTCTTCATTTCTGGCACTAGACCCATGCCCTTGACTGCTAGCATTAACCTAGGGTTTTATAACTCTGCTTACCCTCTTTTTACTTCACACCAGGGCTGGCTTGGCACCGGCCAAGCCCCTTATTCTGGGTCCTCCCCTGTTGAGTGGAACTGTTGCTTCACTTCCCTGATCTTGCTCTCAGACCTAGACACTCCTAGGAGACAGGGGCAAAAGAAATTAGAGCTGAAAACCATTTGTACAGACTAGGAATATTCCTAGTTTATATGCTGTTAACATGTTTATTTTTCAGGTGACTATTTCCCTTTCCATCCTTCTGTAGTTCACCTTTGATTTCTTATACAAGGATCTCACACGATGCTTTTTTTAATGCTTTTTAGGTGCTGGGGATCCACCCAAGGCCTTGCACGTGCTACCAGCGAGCTACACCTCCAGCCCCATACCTTCTTTTTACACGTGGAAACATGCCCTGAAATCTGCATGCTGTCCGCCATTCAATGCCCCTTCAATGCGCACAGAAGTCCTTGCCTGGTAGCTCTTCACTGCCGCCTGGCTGCTTGCCTTCAGAATGGAAAGCAGGCGTGACATCAACACTGTCCCTGTGGGGAGGAAGGGGTGGTGTAGGGGAAGGGAGAAGCACCCGACTGGCTCAGTAAGTAGTTTAGAATGAGTGGGGCAAGACCTGAAGCCTGGGAGAGTGAGTTTGGGGCCAAATTTTGTCTCCCTGAAATTTTTTTCTGGGCTCTCCGGGGATCCCCACACTTAGATCAAGAAGATGTGGGGAACACTGTGTGGCAGTTGTCAGGCTCTGTGTCGGGGCTCACTCCTGAGGAAAGGGAGCTCTGTGGGGACAGCAGCAGGCAGGCGGGACAGTCACACAAGCTGATAAGGTCTGGGATTACTGTTTTCGGTTCTCCGGCGGGCAGGGAGGCGGAAAGTGCAGGGAAGAAAGATGAGCCCGGGGAAAGGGAGCTGTCAGTTCCTCGCGGGGAGGCAAAGCGCAGAGGAAACGTGAGAGGGAGCGTGATCGAGGGATGGCCAGCCGGTTTGCGCTCGGCCCAACCCAGAGGCCGGTCAGGTGCAAGGGGCGGGGGCTCGCGTCCCGGGGCTGCGGGGCCTGGGCGGGCCAGCCCGCGGGGCATTTAAACCCTGCTGGCGCCAGCCGGGGACACGCGCCGGCTCTGTGCCCTCCGTGGACTCAGCTTCGGGTACCAGCCCGGCAAGATGCGGTCCTCCTTGGCTCCGGGTATCTGGTTCCTCCGCGCCTTCTCTAGGGACAGCTGGTGAGCGGGGCTCGGGGACCGAGGGAGAGGGAGGCGCGCTGGCCGCGAGCAGCTCGCCGGGGGCGGTGACCACAGGAGCTCAGGAGGTGCGGGCACCGCGGGGCAGCCTCGGGAGACCAGACTTGGTCGGCCGGTGTCCCTAAGCCATCGGGATGGGGGAGAGTTCTGGCAGGATCTGGCTTCTTCAGTGGCGCCAGCCTGGGAGCATAACACAGACACCCTACCGAACTCCGCGATCCTCCAGACCTCCCAGTGACCCTGGTGAAGAGTAAGCTGCCAGTGAGACTCTCCACGTTTCCCATTTGCCATCCTCATCTCCACAAATACACGCACGCACACCAGAGTCCCTTCAGAGCCCCTCCCTTTCTTACCTCTGAGCAGCTAGGAGATCTGGACTTGCTGGCTGGGGAACTGAGGCCAGAGGTTGATTGAGTAAAAGGTGGTCATGGTAGTTGTTGCGTGTCCTTTTTAGTTTATCTTTGGGTAAATCAGAATCAGAGCTCAGTGGTCCTGGGAGCTTGCCTGGAGGCCCTGAGAGACATACTGGGCAAATGAACGTCTCTGGGAGCAGAGCTGCAGCTGCTTCACAGCTGGGTGGTCACTCCAAAACCGGTGAGCCCACTTTCATAGTAGCTGTCCTCCGGACTGCAGGAGGCCACCCACGAGTTGGACTGGCATAGGTGTAGAGGGTTTCAGCCACTCTTCATCAGAACAGTTTGTGGCAGTGTTTGCTTGGTCTGCAGTGTTTTTAAAATATTTGGGTAATTGCCATTACTTACAAATGATAAAACAACAAAAATAGCTAGATTTCTGGCTTCTGTTGGAAAACAGAAGATGTAGCAGTGCCAAACTTAAGTACCCAAATTACATCACTAGGAGGTAGCATCGCCTTTAGATAAGGCAGACACTTTTAAGGTGATCAGTCTGTCACCTTAAAAGTCTTCGTTCTGGGCCCTCCCAGTCCCTGGGCAAACAGGACACTCGATCACCCTAGGCACTTTGAATTGGTGATAGTACTCATCATTTCCAAACTTCTTCACTTATTTTGATTACTTACCTGGCCCTTTTTGAGTTTGGGACTGTTAAAAGATTTCTTTTTTTTGCAGAAAGAGATAAAATCATGAGTCTCATAAGGATATGAAAATGAACATCTGCTAAAAATTGTATTTTAACTCACAATGAAGGAGCGACAAGATGTTATGATCGGATCAAAAGAAGATCCAGAGAGGAGAATGGGGCGTTAGTAGTACTCAGTATGGAGTTTCAGTTTGCAAAGACAAAAGCATTACTGGACGGTGGTGACGGCTGCATGATAGTGTGAATGTACTAAATGGTGCTAAACTGGCGCACTTAAAATGGTTAAAATGGCAAATGTTGTCATATGTATTTTAACACAGTTTTTAAAAAGCACAATCCAAAGAACATACCAATCAGTGGGCCAGGAATATTAAGGACGAACTGTTTTTCCAGAGACTGAGATGGAAGACTATTGGTTTCACACGACCTATTGGTTAGCTGCCACTTCAAAGAATTGCAAAATAGCTGAAGGTCAGGAAAAGCTAGAATAAGGATAAATGAAAGGCTACATTCAGATAACTTGGAGGGTGTCCCCTAGACAATGCATGTTTTTTTTTTTTCCTCCACAGACTCCCCTGTTTTGATAAAAAATAATCTCCGAGAAAGATTATTCTTGATCACAAAATAAAGCTGATCTCATTGGATTTGATCTCATTATGCACAGTAAGAGTGTTAATTAACCAGATTGGGTATGCTAACTTTGCCCTGACGGAAGTTTTCATAAGGAATCTATGGACTGGACTCTAAAAATAGTGTTTTATTATTCATTGTAATGAGATTAGGAAGACAGGCCAAGAAACTGTCTTTACTAGGTTTTACCTGCTGTGCCTATAAATTTGGACAAATCCCTTTCCTCTCAAGGTCCCCCAAATATCCTAATAAGGGCCCTGGGCCAGCCAAAAATAAATGATCTCTCTTTGACTATAAGACTAAAAATCCAGTAAACCACTTTCCTTCGGAGTGTTTTATTAGTGTTGGCTTCATACAGTGAACCTTAGTTCACTGATTAAATGGGCATCTTTGTCAAATATAACATTTCAGGCAAGGCCTGGGTTACATAGCCAATTTTTCTAAATATGCCCTGGTTAAAAAAAAAAGTATAGATTCTTACTGGACTTTTGCAAATAGCCATATCACCTTGAAAAGCAAGAACACCCAGTAAGAGTTTCTGACTTCTCAGCCCTAAGTTCAAACCTCAGTACCTCAAAAAAAAAAAAAAGTTTCTGACTTCAAGGAAAGAGTTAGGTAGGGAGGATGAGATATGTATTAATGCTTCATTTCTGCTTACAAAAGTACAGAATCTTCTAAATTGTTATAAGTTGTGGATCACCTAAGAGGAAGGTTTTCCTTGTACTGACATCCTGAATGGAACATTATAACTATTTCAAACATAATGACAGTCATTGCATTTAGTCATATGTGATTAATTCTGTTCCACTGAAATCTTGTGTTAGCAATCTCTGAAATCCATCTTTTCTTGACTAAAGACTGCTGGGAACTGCTAACTCTATTAGTATGTTCTTATAGTTCTTATAGTTCGTATAGTTGTCCAAGTGGTGCCATCAGAACCCTGTACCCAAGAGTAAGTGCTTGGTGCAGTGTTATTGTTAATGATAAAATATTTTGTGCTATAGCTGATTGTAGGAAACATCAGCAAAACAAAAACAATGACAGACACTCAAAAATTTCTGGTTAATGTATTGATAACTTTCAAAAGTGAATGATCTGATGAAAATTCATGACAAGAATAATACAACTGACAAGATTTGTTTGTTCCTATAGTATGCAAAATAAAAACAAGCTAGTACAAACAACAAAAAAAATCTAGGCAGTGTCTAAAAACATAATAAGACTAATTTCAAAGAAGACAATGAACACTGCATCAACTTTTAAAATAGATGAAGATAATTTTTACAAAGGAAAAGACTAAAGACATAACATAAAAATTTTGAGATGTAATTTACATAATATGCCAAAAATATCAACTATAGAGAGTTAATGAGTTTAGAGTAAGTTCTTAAACATTTGTATTTGAATAAAACTCTAGGAAAATCTGATACACATCAACAGGTGAACACCACTGGCCTGGTCTGGAAGATGCTAGATTCAAACTAAAGGAGTAAAGCTGCATCCCAGGTAACATTTTCAATTGAAACTGAAATCATGACTGATTAAACTGTGTTGTCCTAAGATAAAGCACCAGTCCAGTGCTGATAAATAGAAACATATCCTGGACAGAGAGGGCATTCAGAGTCCACAGAACTCATGCAGCAATATTCTGAGCCTTCTGAAATATTTCTGTAAATACAGAAATAATTCTGTATGAATTTAACCTAGACAAAGACTATATCTTCTGATTTGACAATTTATTCCCATGCATAGATCAATAATAGCACATCAAATAGACCTATTTTTTAGCACCTCTCTTTAAAAGGTAAAAGAACAAATCTTTGTCATTTTTTTCAAGGACACTGTTTTTGAAAATAATACCAATAAACTCATCAAAACTGAGCCAGCTTTGGCAAAATTTTAACACAATTGTTTCTTTCCAGACTCATTATTTACCCACTTTGTCCTCCAAAGCAAATCAAATTCCTGTTCCATAAAACTAATACTCAGATTTTGTCCCTCACTATCCTCTGTCTTATTCTGGATAACCTAGTCATTATACTTTAGGATAAAACTGCTCTTTTTTTTTCACTGAATAAACAAAACCACACCTCATTTCTGTGTATATAAAGTACCTCTCTGCCATTACTCTTTCTAGTAGATTCTATTTTGTGTATATTAACCATTTACTTATTTATTTATTTTGTGGAGCCAGCCTTGTGCAAGCTAGGCAATTGCTCCACCACTGAGCAACATTCCCGTCCTAATTATTTGTATCTTTTAACCAAACTACTTACATTTCAGAGAAAAGGTGGAGAGAGTGGATCACTGCAAATAATCTATCACATATTAGTACTTTAGAAGAGCTCAGGAATACACATAACAACTTTTTTTTTTTTTTAATATTTTGGTGGTACTGCGGTTTGAACTCAGGGCCTTGTGTGCTTACTAGGCAGGCACTCTTAACACTTGAGCCACACCTCCAGCTCTTTTTGCTTTAGATATTCTTCTGGCTGGCCTGGATGACAATCCTTCTGATCTCCATCTCCTAAGTAACTAGGATTATAGGCGTGGGCCACAGTGCCCAGCATAACACAGCTATTTATAGCCACACACATCACTTGCACACTTCTTAAAGTGTGAATTTAACTGTGTTCTCCAACATCTCCAAAATTCAAGGCAGACCTGGATTGGAATCCTTTCACCACTGTGTAGCTTTTGTAACTTTGTGGAGCCTCAGTTTCCTCATCAGTCAAAGCAAGGTGGTTCTAGGGATAAGTATGACAGCATATATACACATGCTTGATGTCCTGTGGCAGGGAGAGGGTACTCCATAGATGTTCGCTTCCTTCTTTTCTGATGAGTATGGGTTTGGACTCCTCTCAAGTACAAACAAGATGTAGTTCTGCTGTGGTGCCTTATTGTGCTGATCTCTGAGGCCTGCAGAAACAATGAAGATTTGGTCCTACCTTCCTGAGATGACAGGTAAAGCTGTGGAGGGGTGTGTATACATAAATCAGCAATTTTATTTTTACGTTTTATTTTTTTGCCGTGCTAGGGGTGGAACTCAGAGTTTCACACATGCCAGCAAGCTGTCTACCACTGAGCTACATTACCAGCTCAAGTCAGCAGTTTATTTATTTAGATATTGGGGCTTAAACTCATGGCCTTTACCTTGAACCAATCCACCAGTCCTATTTTTGTAAAAGGTTTTTTGAGATAAGGTCTCATGGACTTCTTTGCCTGGGCTGGCTTTGAACTGAAATCCTCCTGCTCACTGCATCCTGAGTAGCTAGGATTACAGGCGTGAGCCA